AGCCGATGAAGATGTCGATTATTTGAATGGCATTTTTCCACAACTGCAATAGTCTCAAATTTGACCTAATATGGCCACCACAGAAGTCAGTATTTATGAGTATTTTGATATGCCAGAGTTGTTTCCTACTTCACAGAGGTGTAATTAGCGGGTTTTGATTCCTGGGAAAAACCCTGCAGGGGGGAAGGAGGGTTACTGGGCTCTGGGCAAAACCTTTGCTGGGAGGGTGGGCAGGACAGGGAGAGAATCACTGTTATCTGTCCTGGGGACTCAGTCCCCAGCTGCTCCTATGCAGAACATTATGCTTGGCCTCAGCTATTGGTGTTGCTGCTATGTTCAGGTTTGGGCCCGAGCAGTGGCATAGAGCAATGGCATAGAGCCTCGCACCCAGCTGCTGCTCTAGCTGTGGTGTGGGGCTGTTCCTAATTCTGCAGCATCATGGACTATCTAGGGAGCTGACACTTTGGTGCCCCCTGTAAGTTGGTGCTTGGGGCTGGTGCCTCATTCATGCAGTCAAGTTACGCTACTGCTATGCCAAGAATCAAAACATGACTACTAAGAGCACAGCCATAGCTAATGGACCTTCTGCTAGCTCCAGTAAGCAGGTTCTAATGGGGTGGGAGCGTGAAGTGGGAATGCCAAATCTTAAGGACAATTCCTTTCAGATTCCTTCTGGGCTGGGCAGCATAGTTGGCTGGAGTAGCTTGAATACCAGCATGGAGTAAGAAAAGCTGCTGGAAAAAATCATTTTGAAAACTGATTACTATAAATGTTAACATTTATTTTATGGAATAAAATAATTAATTTGCAAGCTTTTTTTTCCACTATCCGAACAGTCTTAACAGTTGGGTAAATGCTTGCAATGAGAAATGCTGCCTTTTAAATCGTGTTCACACTTGCTCTGCTAATTCAAGCCTTCTGACTACCTCTTTTTCAAAGAAGTACTACTATTAGTCATGAACAAGTCCCGGAAGCGAATGGCCACTATTAGCTTGTTTTCAGAGATGTCAGGAAAGTCAGCCTAGGGAATAAGTATGGTTAAGGAATTGCTAATACTGGACAGTAATTTTCACTAGCAAACATGACCTTGAATCATAGAAAATTAGGGTTGGCAGGGACTACAGGAGGTCATCTAGTCCAACCCCCTGCTTAAAGCAGGACCACCCCAATTATATCATCCTACTCAAGGCTTTGCCTAGCCAAGTTTTAAAGTTCTCCAAGGATGGAGATTCCACAAGCTCTCTGGCAATGCGACCCAGTGCTTTACTACTCTCCTAGTGAGAGTTTTTCCTAATATCTAACCTAACTTCCCTTGCTGCAACTTGAGACCATTGTACCTCTTCTGACACCACTGAGAACAGTCTAGCTCCAACCTCTTTGGAACCCCTCTTCAGGTAGTTGAAGGCTGCTATTAAATCCCCTCTTAGTCTTCTCTTCTCTAGACTAAATAAGCCCAGTTTCCTCAGGCTCTCCTCGCAAGTCACGTGCCTCAGCCACCTAACCTTTTTCGTTGCCTCCGCTAGACTTGGGTCTCCAATTTGTCCACTCTTTCTGTACTGGGGGGGCCCAAACCCGAACATAGTCTCCAGATGTGGCCTCACCAATGTTGAATAGAGGGGAAGAATCTGAACAAAACCGGGTCCATGATTCTTAATTAAATTTTTAACCTTAATTGCTCTTCTTTAATTACCATAATGAAATTTCATTTGGTGAATATATATTTCTCATCATTAGTGCTGTTATCTAGGATGTACTTTTCCAGCTTAGCCATAACACATGCTTCAGTAAGCCACTTCATTGTGTCCGCTAAAGTTATTTTAAAACATTGAAAACTGAAACTTACTTTTCACCACCCCCCCCCCCCAAAAAAAAAAAAAAAAATACAACCCCCAAGCCCTTCCCGTCCCCTGCTCCAATAAAGATTCAATGCGTGTAACTTTGAATGGTTGAGACAGAACTTTGGGATCTTGCAGCCTTTTAAGGTAGTTATTTAGAAAACAGCTGTATTTATTCATGAAGTTTGGCTCAGGTTTGCCAAAGTAGGAGGAAAAAATAATAACAACAAAAAAGCAAGAACAAAATAATGATCACTCATTGGATGATTACTAAATGTTTTCTAGAATATTTATGCAGGAAACAATAATTTAAGAGCTAATAAACCTGGGCTTACGTTATCAAGATTTGGAACAAATTTCTTTATTTCCTACAGTATTTACGGAACCCTTTCTAATTGTGATTATGTGCCTTGTGATTCTGTAATGCATTCAATTACTGTCAAAGCCAAGTTAAAAATAAAATCTACAAAGCTTTTGAAATTGTGATCTCTATCAAACCAAGACTCCCACTGACTTCTTTGTAGTATATTTGGAGTGAAGATTGCCCAACGTGTCTCAAATCCATACAGTTGGTCCAATAAACAAATATAATCCCCCCCCCCAAATCTTTAACTTCCTAGCCTTTGTTTTAGGCCCTTACTGTCATTTTAGGTTATTTGTGTATTGCTATTACTAGCCATTTAAATTTTCAAGGTAGTAAAACAATGCGTTGTCCCATGTCATTTTATTCTTTGTTCCATCTGAAAGCATCTAACTAAACCCTTAATTTTCATAGAAACACAGTAGGAGTTGCTTCAAGTTCTTTTATGTGTATTATTGTTTTAATAACAAGAAAACTATTTTGACGGCTCTTAAATGTTTTAGGCTCTAAATAAATGTGTCATACCTGTAATTCTTCAGGAATTCCCAAGCCTAATTTTTTTTCCTCACAGTAGGTTCACATTATAGGCTATTATATTACTATTTTACAGGAAATAGGCTTCAAGGGACCACTGCTCTTTGCTCTAATTTTAAGTGAAATATGACAGTTTAAAAACAATAGACAAAGAGAGCAGGGCAGTAATGCATGGGAAATTATGTGTGTGAGAATTTCTTAGTTTTACTATTGCTATCTAAAGAATTTCAGTTCTGGAAAGCAGTGCGGACAGCTTTCACATTCTGGAATCCCTTTCCTACTCAGCCAGAAGGGTTGTTGGATCCTCACTAGAACTGACTTCTCAGTGCTTTTAATTCCTGCTACCCTTAAGAAAGAATAGTCAAACCCAGGATGTCTCTGCACTAATTAAACAGCCCCCACCTTAGCTTTAAAAATGTTTTGATGAACGGCAGTTAAAGACATTAGTCACAGGGGTAGCAGTGGATGTAGTCTTCCTGGACTTTAGGAAGGCCTTCGACACCGTCCCTCACCCCGTTCTCATTAAAAAACTAGGGGACTGTGGCGTCGACACCTACACAGTCAAATGGGTCACTGGTTGGCTGGAGGGCTGCACCCAGAGAGTGGTGGTGGACAGGTCATTTTCAGCCTGGAGGGATGTGGGCAGTGGGGTCCCCGGGCCTGCACTGTTCAACATCTTCATCAGCGACTTGGACGAGGGGGGAAAAAGCACCCTGTTCAAATTTGCAGACGACACTAAGATGTGGGGAGAAGTGGGCACGCTAGAAGGGAGGAATAGGCTGCAATCGGACCTGGACAGGTTACAGGGGTGGGCAGATGAGAACAGGATGGGTTTCAACACTGACAATTGCAAGGTGCTGCACCTGGGTAGGAAGAACCAGCAGCATACCTACAGGCTGGGGAACTCCCTTCTCATCAGTGCAGAGGGAGAAAAGGATGTTGGAGTCATTATTGATGCCAAATTGAACATGAGCTGACAGTGTGGGGATGCGGTCAGGAAGGCCAACCGTACTTTGTCATGCATCTACAGATGCATGTCAGGCAGGTCCAAGGAGGTCATCCTCCCCCTCTATGCGGCACTGGTCAGGCTGCAGTTGGAATACTGCGTCCAGTTCTGGGCACCGCGTTTCAGGAGGGATGTGGACAGCATGGAGAGGGTCCAGAGGAGGGCCACCTGCATGATCAGGGGGCAGCAGGGCAGGCCCTACAAGGAGAGGCTAAGGGACCTGAACCTGTTCAGCCTCCACAAGAGAAGGCTGAGGGGGGATCTAGTGGCCATTTACAAACTAGTCAGGGGGGACCAGCAGGCATCGGGGGAGTCCTTGTTCCCCCGAGCACTATCAGGAGTGACTAGAAATAACGGTCACAAGCTGGCAGAGGGTAGATTCAGACTAGACATCAGGAGGTGCTTCTTCATGGTCAGGGCGGCTAGGATCTGGAACCAACTTCCAAGAGAAGTGGTGCTGGCTTCTTCCCTGGGGGCTTTAAGAGGAGGCTAGATGAACACCTTGCTGGGGTCATTTGACCCCAGTACTCTTTCCTGCCCATGGCATGGGGTCGGACTTGATGATCTGCTCAGGTCCCTTCTGACCCTACCAACTATGAAACATTCACGTTTGGAATTAAAATATTCCCAAAGTGTCAAAATCAGTGCTGATTACAATTTTATTTAAACGGTGCCTTAATTTGTCCTAAATGTTACAATATTCTTCTGTAGCTATTTTGCCCTTATTGTTACCAGCTTTGAAGTATGGCAACTACATTACAAAATGGCTTAAAAAGAGCTCATTACACTATACAAACTTTCAGCAAAAGTACAAGAATTTTCATATGTTGGATCAAATGTCAGTGCTTGTGTACTGGAAGTTGTCTGGCTTTTGAGGATGTAGCAATTGGTAAAGAGACGTGAAAAAAATAACAGAGCAAAACAGAGTTCATATTCTGTCAGTGGTCCATAATTCTAATTCTTATTCTTTTGAAATTCCCTTATTCTTTTAAAATTCCCCAAATTCATAAAAGGCTCTGTCTTCCATTTAGAAAGACTTGGTCCTGGTTGAAAAGAGCTCACTGAAGCTAACATAAAGATTGTTGTTTATACTAACAGGGTGAGAGAGGTATTGATGGCATTGATGGCATCGATGGAGAGAAGGTAAACTTTAGTCATACAGCATTCAAGTAATGAAGCTTATCTAAAAGAATAAACATTACTTTTTTTTTTTTCTTTTTCTCTTTTGTTTGTTTGTGGATTTAGGGAGAACAAGGGTCTCCTGGACCGTCTGGAGAAAAGGGCAGCACAGGGAGACGGGTAAACTGTGTTCAGTAGTAGTTAGTATTCAGGGCTGATGACAGCCATTGCTATCTTTCCAAAATTTAGTGCCAGCTCTGTAATCTCTGTGATTTATTAACAGCTCTACTTATGAAATGCATAACTTGTATATATCTGTGCAACTCCAATGACTTAAATAGAACTCTGGTACCTTATTGCAGGGAAGACCTGATCCTCTGAATTTAACTGTGCTATGGCTACTTTTGGTTCCTGTATACTAATTGTTTGTGCCTCCTTCCTGATTTAAGGGTGGAAAAGGCCCCAGAGGAGAATCAGGGGAGCGTGGAGAGCCTGGCCTAAGAGGAGACCACGTAAGTTTAAAAAAAAAAAAGACCACCTGTTCCATCTTCCTTACATTTTGCTAGATTGGAAAGACTCTCATTGATGTGAATAGCACTTTGTGTCTGGATTTGTCATGTGATGTTCAGATTTTGTAATAGCCAGGGGCTTGGTGCCTGACATCTGTGGATGTCCCAAGATACAAACAGATCTTGATACACTGGCAGTGGCCAGGAGCACAGGCCCAGGGCCCCTTACTGATCCTTTTGCTTCTTTCTCTATGCCAACACAGATCTATCTGGAACCATTTTGTCATGCAGCCCCTACTGATGGTTGAACTGAAACTCTCCCCTTTTAAAAGGCTTTAAAAGAAACTCATGGACTGATTTCTAGAATTATGTAGTACTGTAGAGTTAGCTGCTTTTTTGGCTCCTCTTCCTGTTGCTGCTCCTCCCTTCAAACTGTTGGGCCCTAATCCTATTTACAGGCTTCTACAGTCTCTGGGTAGCAGGGAGTAGAATGCAGTGGAGTCATTGCCCTCCCCAGCACTATGGGTTTGGGTCTTTTCAGATGTGTTTTGCAGCCTTCCATTCCAGGCAACCAAAAGTTTCATGTGGTTCTGGCTAGTATATAGTGTTCATACAAGACCAATATAAGTGTTGAGTCTTAGGTTCCCAGCTTAATCAGTGGGGATGCATCCCCACCCAAATTCCAAGACAACCTTTGCTCAGTCTTTCCTCATTTAGGCGGCTGTCCAAGCACCTCCTAGCTCCTAACCTTTGCTTATACCACACACTGAGCTTCTAGTCTGTCAGCAGGTTCTAGTGTTTTGTGTCTCTTTGCCTTCTCTCCTGATCCCTGCCCTGGTTCCTTGGTCCCTGGTCCTGGCTTCCAAACTTGGGTTTTTGACTTTGGCTTGTCTCCTGGTTTGCTCCTACTGTTGGTTTGCTCCTCAGCCTTCTAATGTTGGCTCAGCTTGTCTCTTGGTTTCCAGTCTTTGGTTAAACACACTTAGCTTGAGACCTCGGCATCTAACCTTGGCCTCTTATTATACGTGCTGACTTTTTGGTGGGTGTCGAGCCCCGTGCATGCCCAGAAGAGGCAGCGCATTACTTCAACCCAACTTGCCCACCGCCTGTAAAGATTGGATGCTTTTGGTGCTTTTATTTAACAGCTGATTTAATCAGCTTTAGCTAAAAGCACTGTAGATCCCTACAGAAGAACCTGATCTTTACAAATGCTGAAGAGCTGTGGTGAAGTAATGTGATGCTGCTTCCAGTAAAGCACTTTTTTTCCCCTACATCTGCAGGGAGCCACAGAGATCTAACGTGTAAAGCCAAAACATCCATGGCTTGTGGGTACTGAACCCCTGCTAATTTTTTTTGGTGGGTGCTTGAGTCCCAGAGCACCCATGGAGTTGGTGCCTATGTCTCTTAGCTTAGACTAGACTTTTGCCCCTGACCCTTGACCTTTTAAGTACTCTAGCAGATTGTGATGACAGGAATACTGTGTCAGGAGTCCTTAACTCTGGGTGAAGTCGGTAAGAGTTTTGTCACATGAGAGGGGCCAGAATTTCACTTCATTAGTTTAACTGTATTTTCTTCAGATCTGGAGATCCTTAACAAAATCCATTTTAGTATAACATTTTGCTCAAAATCATTCACTGGATACATTGGTATCCTGAGTAACTACATAACCAAAGAATGAGAATGACCATGTAATCACAGGCTTGAATTCACTGCCTATAAAGATATTTTCTTTCCGTTGCTTTGCAAAAAAGTTTTTGTTTTTTGTCTATGGAAATGCAGATGTAAGAAGGCTTTTTGCCAACATTTTATACTAAAGCAGTCCTTTAAAAATTGTTTTTTATCAATTAAAAACATATAATATTGTTTATCTATCCTGCTTGTTTTTATTGGAATAGCAAAGGGAAAGTATTGGAAAATACTAAACTTCTGTTTGACTTTTCTAGGGGGATTCTGGAACTGACAATTATATTCGTGGCCATAAGGGTGAAAAAGGAAAACCTGGGCAGCAGGTAAATGGGCAGCTTTGAACTATTAAGGGCCACTAATGGCCTGCAGAAGAAGGAACTTGTGCATGCTACTGGGGGTTGAATTATCTTGTTTGTTTTGTTTTATAACTTGTGCCTGTAGCACCAGATTCTGAGACCTTTTTTATCACTGGAAATTCTGAGAAACCAATGAGAGGGGATCCTTGCAATGTTGGTCACATTGTCCCAAGACTGCAGCAACATTTGAACAAAAGGAAGATATGGTGCAGTTTGTTTCCTCTTTTTACTACAGGAGACTTCTTGGCATAAATTGACACCACAAAATTAATTTCTCCTAGACTTACAACCATAGAATACTGGGGATTTCTTCAGCTACACTGCTGGACAAACATCTTAGGTGCTTTGAACACCTATGCATTAGAATCCATCTAGTCCAACCCACTGCTAGAGGCAGGTTCATTCCTGTCTGAACTATTTTAGACCCTGCCTCAAATTATGATGCTATTTCTTCAGAACAGGATTAAGTCCTTTCTGATCTGTAGTTAAGAACCTGAATGTCTGCTTACATCGCGCTGCATTCTCAGGTTAAACTAAATTTGCTGGAAGCTCTTTAGGGCATGAACCTGAAACTTCCTTGATATCTGAATGGGTGCCCTGACTTCTATGGTACCTTTAAGTGATCCTGTAGTTTGAATAGAAGGCCAAAGGAGCCCAGCCCATATTGCAATGGCTCTTGATTTCCAAGAAGTAAGGGAGTAAGAGTTCTTGGATATCAAAATTATGAGACAGTGGGGTTAACATAATGCTATGATATCTGGTCACAGATTGAGAACTTCTAGTTCACTTTTGAGCATATACACATCCTTGGAGTAATCCAAAACCCACTGAAGTCAGTGGAAGAATTTCCATTGGACTTTATTGGGTCATGTCCAAGACCTAAAAAATGGCCATTTTTACATAATCGTGGTTCAGGGAAAATCTGTATTTTAATAGTGTCTGGCAACAAAGGTCTCTGCTTTCTGATTTATCTTTCCCCGAGAATCCTTTACATTTGTTTCTCAGAAAAACAGAGGAGAAAACTTTTCAAAGCTACTGTCTAACTCAGCATGTCATAACTGGTAGGACCTCAAAATAATCATGTTCCTTCTGGTTACATACCCTTGATTACAAATATTTTGTATAACACAAAGGTCAAACATCTATATGGTACAACTGGTTACAATGATATTGCTTAGAAAAAGAGATGTTCTAGGAAAAAGGATCAAAAGAGGGCTGTAAAAACAAAATGTACAATTACTCATGTCTTGTTGAGGTATGTGAAAGGACTGTGATATTTAGATTAGCTCATTTTCCTTTTGTTTTACAGGGAGAACCAGGAACAGATGGAGTACAAGGAGGGCTGGGACCAAAGGGCTCTGATGTAAGATTATTACTAGAGTGTTGGGGTAGTTGATCTATAGTTCAGGATGCAACGATGTTTCCATTGCTAAACCCAATTTTATTTCTGGGAAGCTGACAAGTTTATTTAGTTCACTTGAGATTGAGAAGTGTGCAAAGATTGAAGGCAAGCTTGCTGCATAGGAATGTAGGGCTGGAAGGGGCTTCTTAAAGTAATCTACTACAGCGCCCTGCTCAAGGCAGGCTCACCCTGACTATATTATCCCAGGCAAGTGTCGGTCCAACCTGCTCTTAAAAATTTTTAAGAATGTAGATTCCACAGTTTCTTGAGGTAGCCTGGTTCGAGTGCTTGACCACCCTCATAGTCAGGAAATTCCTCCTAATAGTCTACCTAAATTGCTGGCAGCTTGAGGCTATTAGTTCTGTCTCATGCAGTCATGGAGAAAAGCCCATCTCCATCCTTGCTTTTCAGGTATTTGAAGATTGTCATCACATCCCCGCTCAGTTTTCTTTTCTCTAAACTAAATAAACCCTAGTTCTTTCAGTCTTTCCTCATATGACTACATTACTGTAGTCCTCCAGAAAATCAAGGGATTGGGCTCCTAAGACTCATGGATCGGCTGTTGACTTGTATCTCCTAATCCAGACAGATGAAGCCCCAAATGGTCTCCAGTGACATTTAATATGGTCTCCAGTGACATCCACTATCTAAAGTGACAAGACCAGGGCTGTCCTTTGCTTAACCTTAGCAGTGAGAACATCATTCTGCTGAAGATGGTTCAAGCATCTTCATGTCACATTTCCTATCATCTGAATGACTGTGTTTTGATAACTTTAAAACTCTTGTAATTTTACTAATGTGAATTCTCAACCTTGACTTCACCTTAATCTAGTTTTTGTCTGAGGGTAGGCATTTTTGTTGTTTGACCTAGGGCTGTTCTTTTTCATGGCTAGTTCTATAGTTTTGGTTGTAATTTGTCTTGCCTTTCTTTTGTAGGGTGAAAGAGGTCGAAGAGGTGCTCAAGGCTTACAGGTCAGTAACCATTACCAGTACATGCTGTTTGCACTTTATTTTTATACCATTACATCTCAAGCCTGAGCTTCTGCCTATAGGCCTGGATGAATCATTTGCACCAATGTTTTATGTAGATTGTGTGTGTAAATGTAAGCTGTACTGGAATACAAAGTGAACAGACATGCATCTGTTTTGAGGGAGCTGCTCACAGTAGGCACTATAACAACCCCTTGCCACTAGGTGGAGAATCTAGTGACAGCCTGTTTGCCTGGAAAAAATTATTTCTGTTTCTATCCAGAGGTAGCCAACATCTTAACTGGTACCACTTACCCTTGGATAGTTTTATTCCTGATGTCTCCCTAGGTATTTCTGCACTGGATTTAAGTAAAGTTATCTTTAAGTAAGTTATTTAGGAGTTTATACAATCTGTCTGCTCCTTCTTAACACCAGTGTAAAGTCTGGTTAGACTGATGTAAATGTGCCATGTGCCTGGGCGCTTAGAAGGGAAATATCAGTGTGAATAGATTATTACCACTTGCTTTTCATAAGTCTGTTTCAAATTTAGTCAGCTTTTGGGTCCCAGAAAAAGCCTGGCCAGAAGCCCTCTTGACGTGGACACTAGAAGTGTAAAGGATACTCCTAACTTTCACTGATATAAAAGTCAGTTTCCAGCAATTTTGCTGGTTCATTGGTGACATATTGGGGGGGAGTGGGCATGTGCCTCTTCAGATTTCTGTGGTGGTTCATGGAGCATGTCTAGGGGGTCTGCAAAAGGCAGCTGTGCTGCTGCTCCAGCGCCCCCTGTTGTCAGAGGCCGAGTGAGCGACAGCAGTAGGCATTCCAGCATCAGCAGGCAGAGCCTGTTGCAGCTCCTCCCATGGTGAGCAGCTGCTGGAGCACCAGCAGCTAAGCATGGCTGGGTAGCAGCACCTCATCCTGTCCCTGTTGCTGCCCCAGGTAGTATCCAGCACTGCTGCGAGAGAAAGAGAGAGATCCAGAGGGGTCTGTGTTTCCATTTCCCAGGTTTACCAGAATTGTGTCTTCCCCCTTTCTCCCCCTGCACCATCAATAGTTACAATCTCTTATGTTCTGGTTTATGTAACCCTGAATAAACTGACATAAACTAAGATTGGAAAGCCTGTCTGCCTTTGTCATCTCCCAGAGCATGGACTGTAGCCAGCATGTGGTCTGCTAACTAATGCTGACAGGTGTAAGGCAGAGGGGTGGGAAGAATAATCTGTGCTTAGCAGGGAGAAGCCAGGTAGATGCTTGCAGTCTCTGCTGGACCTCCAGCAAGGGAGCAGAGGGGAGGGGGGAATTCCTGCTTAGCAGGGAGTGCTGGGTGGGTGGGGAGCAGCCTGCAATCTCTGCTGGAGCTGCAGCCAGGAAGCAGAGGGGAGGGACCAGCCCTGCTGTGGAGCAGAGAGCCCCACCCAGCCCAGGGAGCATTCTGGGATGCTGGGGGAGTCTGGTTTATCTTAAACCAGCAAGGGGTCTGGGCCAGAGATTGCATAAACCGGTTTGAGCCAAATCAGTTGAGTCTGATACCACATTCAACCAGGTTTATCTCAAACTGGTTTCAGCCATTTTCAAGCTGGTTATGTGCACATCTGTTCTGTTACAGATTTAAACCAGTTTCTGATCACTTAAACTGGTTTATGGGTAATGCCTGTCCCTAGCCCTTAAATCCAGTGCAAAACACTAATAGAGCACTGTGAACAGCCCAACTACAGTAGGCAAAGTAAACATTGAGATGAGTATCTTTTCTAGCCTTGTACTTCTGTCTAGCACAGAAAACAAAACTAGCTCTGCTTCCACATGAGGGAGCTGCTTGTGGAAGATACACAGATAACAGAAGGGATTGCAGCTGGCCCAGGAAAAGAAATTTCAGGGACTGTAACATTGATGGTCCCTTGTTTGCCAATATTAGATGGGCAGCTGAGACAGGCCAGTTTTAAATAAGGCTGTCTCAGAAAAATAGCCTGAGCTGACTTCATGTTAGAATCTGAAAATCCATTCAAAGCTATTAAAAGACTAGCCTTCTGTGTACCTCAGAGAAGACTGAATCCTAGGACATATTGGAAAATTAATTCCCAAACCGTTGAATGTGGGTCTCCAAGGCAAGACCATGAATCCAGAATGTTGTTGTAGGACTCCATATGTGGGAATATGTTGACTGCACATCAAAATGTGCTACTGACTGGAAGCACCAGGAATTAATTACAGCTTGGAAGAAATTATCTCATTGTTGTTGATAGCTGCTCAGGCTGGTTCTATCCAGACCTACCCCCTGGCAAGCAAACAAACAATATGAAGATGGATGTAATTGGTGAGAGCATCTCTGCTTCTCTATCAACATTTTGGGTGATACACTTGACAAAGAATTGTTTGTCTAAATAGTGTAGTTATATAAAACCTAAAAGCAGATGGATCCAAGAAAGATCTAGCAGAAGGAATGTTAATTTCCAGATGTGATTTTTAAAAGTAGGCACATATGTTCCCTCCTCAGATAAAGGACATGCATCTGTCATCATATTTACAAACCATGTACCTATATACTCTGCTTGTAGGTTATTTTGCTTTCCGTTATGTAGGTTATCTGTTTTTTAGGGTAAGGACTGTGTATTATTCTATATGGTGCCTACCATAGGAAGACTTTGTTCCTAGTTGACCTGAAGGTGCTACTTGTACATCCACTAGGGCGTGATGTCCCCATGGCAATATCCATACTTGAACAAAATGTGTTAAAAAAGGAAATGGAGGGGCCTTGATGAGAGTGCCTTTTATATTAACTCTTTTTTCAGCCACCCTGTCTTTGATTACAACATTCCTATTCACTCTTTGTCCTTTTGACACATCCTTCACTAATTGCTGCCTCATTCTGAGCTGTAGTGAAGTAACATGGGTTTGTGACCTTGCTGCCTATCTGATTACAATGCAGTGTCTAGTGGGAGTGACTGCTCCAGTTTAATGGACGGCAATCCCCCACACTTTTACTCACATCCCTACTTTTTCTCTCATGGGCACATGAGATAAAATCTAAAAATAAAACCTCTCCCTCAGGAACTCCATGGAAACCTCCAACCTCCACTTCATTCCAAGCTATGTCACCTTTGCTCACTATGTAAAGTCTACGAGACAGCTGAGATCCCTAAAGGATTGGTCAGCAGCTTAGAATAACCAGGATGCAGCTTGCTTTGGCTTCTCCTTGCCCTCAGAATTCCCCTTCTCCTGGGTAGACTGGCGGTGGCAGGAATGTCATAGGAGCTGGTTTGTGGCCACTGTACACCAAATGAGAACTCCCCTACATCAGCAATTTAGACCCACCCCCATTTCTAAGCCTGCTAGTACCGTCAGAATTGAACTTGACTGTCTGGGTCTTTGTGTACCTCTTTTGTTTCCATGGTTTACTTGTTCATTACAACCAATTTTCTGATTTTTGGTGCCTTTCCATTCTTCTTTTAACTTTCTAAGCTCTTTACTTTTTAAGCATATAGACTTCTCTCATTGTTGTCACGTGTCTTTGGTGTTGCTCCTGTCATTGCTACTTCTGGGATTTATTTTGTTTCTTGTTTTCCCTTTGCATATCCACCCAAGCTTCTCCTACTTCTTTGAAACTAACTAAAAATCCATTGAAGGTCAGTGGTAGGCTTTTCAATTGCTTCAGTGGACTTTGAGTCAGGCTTCAGTTTTTAAGTGACTAGGCTTAAGGCAGGCCACATGAATTACTACCTGTAGTCATTAGATAAGCTTTTATTCAGTTGGCACCAAAGAGACAAGACTTTAAACTAATTTCCTCTTTAAAAAAGTTTGGATTTTAAACTGTATCTTGAGGAGATTTTACCACACCTTCAACTCTCCTATGAAATGTGCATTTTCATTTCTACCTAGGAGAACTTTTACAATTTTTTCTCCTATGCCTGAAGAAGGGTGGTTGTGCCCGGAAGCTTGCAAATAAAGAGACTTTTTTTTGCAAAAATCTAGTTGGTCTAATAAAAGATATCACCTCTACCATGAGTTCTGATTCCTTTTGTCTCTAGACCAATATGGCTACAACTGGGGTACTTGACAAACTGTATCTTGTGCATTTTTAATGGATATATTTCAGTAAATTATTTAAATGATTTGAAAGAATCTGATCTTAGAGTTGATCTCTGCTTTTGCTACTTCAAGTGCATTTTTTTAAATGTTACCAAAGATCATATTTTTTAAATGAAATACTAATCAGTACTGCTGCCTTTTAGTTTCCTTTTTAAAATTGCTGCTTTCTGGTTTAAAAATCCCCTTTCTTAGAAAGTTCCATCTTTTTCTGGTGGCTTTTTTGTTGGTCACTGATGGAATTGCAAAAGACTCGGTTCATATTTTTCTGTAGGGTGTCAGCCAGAAAGTAGTAATTAGATGATTTCTGTAGTTAACCAGACAAAGGCACCTGTACACACCATGGATTTTAATTCTCATTAAATTAAATAGATTTATAAAAAACTTGTTTATTGTGGAGTGTTGCATCTGTGTTTACACGCATTCGGTTTTCAAACTAATTAAGCCTTGAAGCATCACATATGTGTTTACACGTACTAGGTTTTAAAATGAGTTAAGCCAGGTCCCTGGATGGTGCTGCAGAAGAATGGGACAGTCCAGCACTGGCCCCCTGGCCTGGGGCCCCTACCCACCCTGTACCTGTGCCCTGCCACACAGCTGTGGAAGCAGGGAGCCAGCAAACCACACAAGGGGGAAAAAAAAAAAAAAAGCATAAGCAATTCAAAAGCGAAAGCAATTCAAAGGGGTGAACTACAAAAAAAGTTGCAATACCATCTGGTGGACAAAGAGGCTCATTACATGTCTTTGAGTGCTTATGTGTTTGCATACAATGCATCCATGTATGCAATGCTTTAATTCCCAGTGAGCCAAACTAAACTATATCTGAGGAGTTTTAGTTTAATGCACAAGAAAGACTTTTAAAGTATTGGGAAATCCCACTCCTGCAAACAGAGATGCAGTTGCAGTGCATAAAAGGGCAAAAATCATGGCATGTACATGAGCCCTTAAACATCACGGATCTGAGAATACGGGCATAGTTGCCTGTCTGACTGTACTATCCATTTTGGGGTGCTGAAGACCATTAAGGTTCAGAAATTGTTATATGGAAAAACATTTAATTTTCTTTATAAAATGGTAGACTGCAGAATGGAGAAGTCTTCTTTCACCTCATAGGTGATGCGTAGCAGGGGCACGGGTGGGGGCACATGTCCCTGAGATTGGTTGCTGCCACTGGTGTCTGCAGGCTGTCGCTGCTCACCACCCCCGTCCACCTTTTGCTGCCGACACTGCCCTGTAGCCTGCAACGGGTACCC